TCTAGTTACTGTAGCTTATGACTTTAAGCAATCATATCACACTGTTTGATTATAATAAATATAAACTAAAAATAAAAAATAAAATAAAATAAAAATCCCTAGACTTTTTACATTCTACAATGAACTGCTGAGGAAATTTAATCCCACTAATGTAGTACACAATATTTTTTATATTTAATTTAAAAATTAATGAGTAAATATTGAGAAAAACAGAAGAGAGGAAAATTAAAAACCATACCTGATAATGTGTATATTTGTTTCAAGCACATTTTGTTTAATGTAATTATACCAAGAAAAATTAAAATTCATTTTATGGCTATCCTTCCAAGATCTAAGAAATGCTGCATTTAACACTCTGTGACAGAGAAGAGAACCAAGATGGCGGCATAGGTAAACACCTGTACTTGCTGCCTCTCACAACCACATCAAAATTACAACTAAAAGGCAGAACACCGACGATCCAGAACTGTGGGAAAGCTGGCTGAGTGGAAGTTCCACAACTAGAGAGGTGAATAAAGTGCATTGAGACTGGTAAGAGGTACGGAGGCACGGAAAGTGCTGGCAACTGGATGTGCTGCACTTTTAATTGGGAGGGAGATACAAGCTCCCGGTTGCTCTGAACTCCAGTTCCAGGCGAGATTCTGGGGAACTCAGAAACATACGGGGAGAAACTAGACTGTCTGGCATCGGGACAGGAATGCGAGGGCGACTTTCTTGCAAAGGTGCTCGCAGCGATTATTGTTCCTGCACGGTTGCCGGACGCAGAGACCCAGGGACCTCTCCGGTGCACAGCTGACTGGCAGCCATTGCTGTTTGCTCTGCCCTGGTGATTCCCTGAGACCCCACCTCACCGAATTTACAAACCCACATAAGCTGTGTGCATCGGCTTTTGCATATGAATAGCATGTCCTTTATCCGCCTAAAACCTGTCCAACTGCAGCTGGGTCAGAGAGCCCCAGAGCTTCCAAAAGAAGGCCCAAGGCCCGGCAGCAGCAGCCTGACTTGCTTCACAGCTGGACTTCATCTGGGCACTTCCAAACCCCATACAAAGAGGAGGAGTTTATAGACTCCTCTGTCTCTGTAGCACCTGCTGGGTGGCCCCAGACAGTGGCTGACCTTGAACTTCCTTGAATATCCAAGAGCCAGTGTACCCCATGGTCAGAGTGAGACCATACCGGATTACAACTCTTCACATCCATAAGAGACACACTCAAGGGGCAGACTCAGTGAGCATCAAAGCCCTACTGAAGAAAGTCCTGCCCCATAAGGGTGTTGTCTGCACAACAGTTCTTCCAGTGTAGACACAGCTGGTCATCACAGCCAATTGGCCTGGAGGTCAATTCCTCCTAATGATACCAACAGCAATCAAGGGTTAACTACAAGACAGTGCAAACAGCCCACAAAGGGGTGCACCAGAGCGTCCACCTCAGGTGACTTGGGGAGGCTGAGCCACTGGGCCCTATAGGACACCTACCACACAAGGCCACTCTATCAACTCAAGGAGACTTAGCAACTCTACCCAATACATAGAATCAAACACAGGGAAGCAGCCAAAATGCAGAGACAAAGAAACAAGTCACAAATGAAAGAAATGGAAGAAAGAAAATTACTGAATATAGAGTTCAAAACCACAGTTATAAGGGTACTCAAGAATCTTCTAGAAACCTCCGAGAAATTTAGTGAAACCCTCACAGATATGAAAAAGGACCAATTAGAAATTAAGCATACACTGACTAAAATAAAGAATAATATACAGAGATCCAACAGCAGACTAGAACAGTGATGGCGAATCTTTTGAGCTCGGCGTGTCAATATTTTGAAAAACCCTAACTTAACTCTGGTGCCATGTCATATATAGAAATTTTTTGATATTTGCAACCATAGTAAAAAAAATTTATATATTTGATATTTATTTTATATATTTAAATGCAATTTAACAAAGAAAAATCAACCAAAAAAATGAGTTCACGTGTCGCCTCTGACACGTGTGTCATAGGTTCGCCATCACGGGACTAGAGGATCCCAAGAATCAAGTCAAAGATTTGAAATACAAATAAGCAAAAAACACCCAACTGGAAAAGCAAAAAGAAAAAAGAATTCAAAAATATGAAGATAGTGTAAGGAGCCTCTGGGACAACTTCAAGTGTACCAATATCTGAATTATGGGAGTGTCAGAAGAAGAGGTAGAGCAACATATTGAAAACCCATTAGAAGAAATAATGACAGAAAACTTCCTCTACCTGGTGAAAGAAATAGACTTACAAGTCCAGGAAGCGCAGAGAACCCCAAACAAGAGGAATCCAAAGAGGACAACACCAAGACACATCATAATTAAAATGCTAAGGGCAAAAGATAAAGAGAGAATCTTAAAAGCAGCAAGAGAAAAACAGATAGTTACCTTCAAGGGAGTACCCAAATGACTGTCAGCTGATTTCTCAACAGAAACTATGCAGGCCAGAAGGGAGTGGAAAGAAATATACAAAGTGATGAATAGCAAGAACCTACAACCAAGATTACTCTACCCAGCAAAGCTATCATTTAGAATTGAAGGTCAGATAAAGAGCTTCACAGATAAGAAAAAGCTAAAGGAGTTCATCACCACCAAACCAGTATTATATGAAATGCTGAAGGGTATTCTATAAGAAGAGGAAGAAGAAGAAAAAGGTAAAGATAAAAAATTATGAACAACCAAGTGACAACAAATACATATCTATCAACAAGTGAACCTAAAAATCAAATGAATAAAAAAACCTGATGAACAGAACAGACTGGTGAATGTAATAGAATCAGGGCCATGGAAAGGGAGCAGACTGATAATTCTCGGGGGGAAGGGGTTGTGGGGGGTGTGAGAAGAGATTGAACAAAGAGCTTACACCTAAGTCAGTGGGGGGGGGGGTGCAGCATGGAGGCCTGGAGTGGGGTGGGAACTGGGTGGAGGGCAGCTATGGGGGGGGGGGAGAGGAATATCTGTAATAATCTGAACAATAAAGATTTAAAAAAAAATACTCTGACAGACTCCATTACATCACCCCCCTTTAGTTACCTCACAGTTCTTATCACTATCTGAAATTTTGTTTGGTAAATTTTTCATTGTTTACCTCTATTATGTACAGTTCCTGAACATACAGTCTCTATTGATCTCTCTTCTCTTGAGATCTCATCTAATTCCAGTATAAAATTAACTCCATCTATATGCTGACAACTCCCAAAATTATATCTCTAGCCCAGACCTCTTTCATGAAGTTCATAGCCTATGTATAATGCACGCGCACACACACACACAATTCTATTTCATTTGCACTACATACATTTACATTTGTTTACTCTTTATGTCCAAAACTAAATTCTGGACTCCCCCTACCACCTTAACAACATTCCCCATACATAGGCATTCCCATCTCAATTGATGACCATGCTATCATTCGGACATCCTTGACTACTCTCTTTCTGTCCCATTCCACAGCTATTTCATTAGCAAATCGTATTGATTTGCCTTTAAAATATAGCTAACCAACTTATCATCATTCCCACTGTTATCATCCTGACCAAGATTCACCAAGTCTTACCTGTATTATTGCAGTAGCCCAAAAAACAACACACACACAAAAAACAAGTCTCCCTCCTTCTATCCTTGCTCCACACTCCAACAGATTATTTTCACATTATTGAGTGATTTGTTTAAATATAAAGCAAGTCACATCAAAACTCTACAATGTCTATTTCACTCAGTAAAAAAAAAACAAATCATTCTTTGGCCTTCTGTTCCCTCTCTGACTTTCTCTTTTGCTACTTTCCCTATTGCTAATTCTCACCTCACCTGAGTCTTTTGTATTTTCTAAATGTTCTTAATAAGAAGGTATTGTTTTCAATAACAACAACAAAAAAAAAAAACCACCTCTCTTAAGCCATAAAAGTATGAAGGAGTAATCTCTCGTTTTAGTCAGACATTTTCTCTGTAAGAACAGAATTAATTAACAGGGTCAAGTCTTTAGAAGAAAAAACTAAGTTCCTGGCAAGAGCTTGTATGGCCTTGAATGCCTGTGGTCCTGATAAAGACTTCAATGAAGACAGGCCTCTAAAATAAATCAGACTGCATGGTGTGATAGAATGATGTCTGCATTCAGTATTGAAATAGCTCGCTAAAGCCTCTCCACTACTTACTAATTGCGAGACCTTGACTAAGTCACTATTCTCTCTGATTCATAGAAATCAATCTATAAAACTCATTATAGACCTAGTGCTTCACCAGAGAAATACTTACAAAATTAACTCACCAAAAACACATCTAATAAGGCTGATTTATTCCCAGGAATGTTACTGAAAGTTCTTGATTAATCTGCACATACAAAAGCATGGCAGAGAATTATCCAAAACAGCACAAATGTTAAGGGCCTGGTTGCAGAATAAATGATCTACAAGTTCTAAAAACTATGAGCTCAAAACTGAGAGGGTGGATCCCGGAACTCGCAAAGGCAAAGAAGCCACACACCTGAAGAGAATACAGACTGTAAATGTTCAGATGATGTATCTCGACCCAGGGTTGGGGCAGATGAGGACCAGAGCGGGAATTAACTGTCAAGAGGTTCTGGGAACTGCTCCTGAATGAAGCAAACCATGAGTCAGAAAAGACAAATCGCCTGCGGAGACACAGCTGGAAGCTAGGGTGTCGTTTCGCCTTCTCCTTAGCGGGTCAGTTGTAGGAATTTTGTCGCCCAACCTGCCCCACTCACCGGGTCAACCGAGCTGCAAGGCCTTATAAGTTAGGGACTTAGTGGCCAGACCCGCCACAGACTGAGAAATCGCAAGGTGGCCATCAGCTCTGGAGACCGTCGCTAAGGAAACGGGGGCCAAGCTCCGGGATCACCGCATCCTGGTTTCCCCTGGGCCAGCCCCAGACCGTCGGGGGCGTGGCTGCGTGAGTGACGCGCGGAAGGGGCGGGGCTAGGCGAAGCCGGACCTGGCGCGGGTGGCAGTCCAGGGCGCATGCGTGCTGTGCGGAGCGGTGGGCTACCTGGAAGGTTAAAGCCGGCCGCGGCAGAGGTGGGGATATGGCCCGTGCAAATGTCCCTCCAGCCTTATCTCTGCGAGAAGCCACCCAGCGGAAGTTGCGGAGGTTTTCCGAGCTGAGAGGTACCGAAGGAGGAAGCCCGGGCCTCCCGGGCGGTGGAAAGGGAGGGTCCTTCATGTGCCCTGAAAGTTGCTGGACTGTCACTTCCTGGATGCTTCTCTCTCACCTGTGGGCCCAGGACGCTGGCCCGCGCATAGCTAATACACCTTGAATGTGTTATTCTTTTCTTTCACTGTCCTTTCTTTACGTGATGCTTGTTACTTTCTTTAACTTTATTTCTAGTTTCTAAGTAGATAGATACAGATATAGCTAGTGAAGCTATAAATTCAAGTTATGCATTTGGTTAGTTCATTAACAAATTATTTAAATAAATCTGAAATATCTAAAACATAGTGTCTTGACCTTTACAAATGTGATTTTAGCCTTCTCCCACCTCCCTACCCACTTCACCAGTTTATTCCGTGATGTGAACGCTTACTGAGTTAAACTAATAATGCTAAAACACGGAGGGATTATGGATTATTAAAACGAGTGAGGGTTGAATCAAAATGTTTTTGGGTTTTTTAAAGGCTATGTCACTTGTCATTCCTTGTACAACTGTGTAATAAAATTCCTTATTTTTTTGTGAAGTTACTGCTTTAAGAATACAGGAAATACTAGGATGACAATAAAACGTTCAGGACTATTACATTCTAGGTGGAAAGTCCTGTTTGTTAACGAATAAAAACAATTTTATCTTTTTTTTTTTTCAATAAAAAAGAGCTTCCAGCTGTCTACCAAAAGTTCAGTCTGTCTTTTAATGAGTTCATCTGGGAGTTGGGAACTTTTCTATTATCCAAAATTGTATGTCATACTCCATTAGCCTTTGTAAAATTGCACGGCTCTTTTTAAGGTAGTAAAAAATAAAGTACCCACATTTATAAACAGCAACATTGTAGTAATGGATATTTGGGTTGAATCTTTCTTATCCAAGGAACACTAGTCCTAATAATATGAAAATTGATTCATTTATTTGTTCCTTTGTCTTCTTATTTAAGAATTGAGATAATCTTTAGAAAATCAGTAATATTTCTCTTAAAATAATATCTAAATATAAATGGGTCTGTAGATCATAGAAGAAAGTAATCTAAAAGAGAAAAAACAATTTATGAACAGTCCTCATTATAACTATTTGAATCACACCAACTACTAATTGCTTAATTCTCAAAAGCAAAAGATACATTTATGAAGATTATAATATTATCCCTTTGTTTTCCCCTCTTTCCAAGTAAGTAACAGAGAATTCTGATAATATTTATCATTTCCTTGTTTTTTCACATAGGCAAACCTGTGGCAGCTGGAGAGTTCTGGGACATTGTTGCAATAACAGCAGCTGATGAAAAACAAGAACTTGCTTATAAGCAACAGCTGTCAGAAAAGCTGAAAAAAAAGGAATTACCCCTTGGAGTTCAATATCATGTTTTTGTTGATCCTGCTGGAGCCAAAATTGGTAAGCATTTATGGTCAGATTTATATCATAGAGTCTAGGTAGAATAATCATTGAAGAAAAGTTTTCCTGTGGCATGCAGTTATAAACTGCATATATTCCCACCATAGTCTTTATTTAACTTTAAAATTTTTATGTGAATTCAGTAGTTTTTAAAAAAATGATAAAAAATGATAAAAGGCATAACAACTCATATATATATATACATATATATATATATATATCCTATAAAGGTATATATATATATATATATATTTAATCGATTCAGGGAGGAAGGAAGAGGGAGAGAGAGAGATAGAAACAATTATGAGCGAGAATCATTGATCAGCTGCCTCCTGCATGCCCCCTACTGGGGATCGAGCCTGCAACCCCCGGCATGTACCCTGACCAGAAATGACAGGGGAATAGGTCTACACTCAACTACTGAGCCATGCAACTTTCTTAGGGCAAGGCTTAGCAACTTTCCTACACATTGTGACTTACCATGGAAAAACTTCCCAAATATTATGTTATTTAAAAGAGATTTGTATTAATTTTAATAAAATTTATTCAGGTAGTAATTAATCCATTGGACCTTATCAGTCGGGTTCCTAAGATCCCTGAAAACTCCACATTTTCTTCAGAAATTTAGGTAAGGAGATCAAAACAAGAAAAATATATACTACTGACTTCTTGGGACCACAATTGCAGAATACAAAAGAGCACAGTCTAATGGCTTAAGTATCAGAGATATTTACTTTAAAAATCCAATTTCCATAAAGTTTGCCTTTTAACCTTTCATTGCATACTATTTTTGTGGGGGCAGTTTTTCATGTAATGCTAAAACTGAAGCCCCTTGATACCAGAGATAGGGTATGTATATCTAACATTGGCATTGTTCTAAGTAGCCATGTTTTAATCCTCACAGCTAGCAGTCAGTACTATATGATTCCCATTGTATAGATGAGATTTAGAGGCACAGAAAGTTAAATAACTTGCCCAAGATAATTAGTAAGGAAACCAAATTCTAAAAAACTTTTTAAAAAGCAAGTTTAACTTACATATTTGATTGTCATATGGGAGAATTATTTAAATGGTTTTTGCAATTTGTCATTCCAAGTGAATTATATATAATACTTACAGTATATATATATGTGTGTGTATATATATATATATGTGTGTGTGTATATATATTTACAGTTTTCTGGTGTTGCGGATTGCCTATTTTATCATTTCTTCATTGTGTATTAATATTTTCGGGAGAAGATTAGCTCATCATTTAGGGGCTGATCTCTGGTTTTCATTGCTAATCGTTTGTTTAATTATTTAATTGGTATGAAATGTGTATTTAAATTGATTCTTTTGTCCATATTTTTGTTCTCTGCCTAGTTAATTGTAGCCATATCCTCAGAGTTCTAACACCTAAATTTACTATACTTACAAAATTTTAGTAGGTTTATATGAAATAAAGTGTACATTTTTAACTTTATTTTTAAGGTAATGGAGGATCAACATTTTGTGCCCTTCGACATTTGGAAAAGCTATATGGAGATAAATGGAATTATTTTACCATCCTATTAATTCACTCCGGTAAAATTATACTTTACTGATTTTACCTTTGATATCTTACAACAGTGGTTCCTAACCTTTTTATGGCCGTGCCCCACCTAGCATCTCTAAAATCCTGATGCTTCCCCCACCCCCCCCCAACCTGGTGACATATAATTCTTACTATTCAAAAAGTGAACTCCTATTCAAGTGGAGGAAGCCTAAAAGGCCATTAGCTTGGTCTAAACAAACTTCCAAAGAACATGGCATCCATGAAAGAGAAAAATAAAAGAACTAAAGGACAGTTGTACTGAGGAAGAAATCACTAAGAAATTGTTAAATAATAATAATAATATGAAGTGATATGAAAAAATAGCAAATAAGTTTCAAAACATATAATAGAGAACTGGAATACATAAATATGTCACAATATATATTTATATACTGTATATGAGGCCCCTAGAACCATAAGAAATGCAAAAAATTTACTGTTAATAACTCATTCTCAAATTGCCCTCCTTAAAAATCAAATTGTGCCCCATGTTGGGAACCACTGTTTTAGAACTTTCCTTTTTTTTTTTTTTTGGTCTTTGAAGTTAGTCTGCTTTGAAAACAAATATTTCATGCTTTTCTTGATATTTTTAGTTTGTAAGTAATATTACATTTTCCACAATATTTCTCTTTAAAATTGTGGATCACATACATTGACTGTTTATGGGTATTATGTTTAGTATGTATGTACAAAATTATTTTCCAAAGACAGAGCTCATCAAAATATGAACATTTTTCAATAAGTCTTTAGAAGGGATTCTTGCTGTAGGGAAGAGGCTGGTTTAGCACTGTGATCCCCATACTATTGCCAAAAACCTTCTATCTTGAATTTTTATTTGATTATTGGTAGACAAAGTCTATAATTCTTGAAGGAGTTACAAGAAAAAAAAAGGTGGTCACAAAACATGGAGTTGATGAGAAAATATCTGAGGGAAAATTACATATACAAGAGGACATTGTAAAGCAGAAAGGTAGGAAAGAAATAATCTCAGAACAGAGGATAGGTGTTTATTTTAATTGGATAAGTTTAGTTGTATGAAAATTTTTATTCTGTGGAAACCTCTATTATTTTTCTCTATGAATTAGGTTTCTATGAAAACTTTGTCATGGATTGGCACCATGGCTTCCAAGGCACTATCCATTTCTTATGATTGTTATACAGAACAGTGATTTTTAAAAAAATATATATTTCTTGATTGATTTCAAAGAGGAAGGGAGAGGGAGAGATAGAAACATCAATGATGAGAGAGAATCATTGATCAGCTGCCTCTTGCACACCTCCTACTGGAGATCAAGTCTACAACCTGGGCATGTGCCCTTGGCCAGAATCGAACCCCGGGACCCTTCAGTCCCCAGGCCAACACTCTATCCACTGAGCCAAACCGGCTAGGACTGTAAAGATGATTTCAAATGAAGCATCCAAGTTATGATTTTACAGCTGGCTGTAAAAAAATTTCAAATTTAGCCCAGCTGGCATGGCTTAGTGGTTGAGCAGCCACCTGTGAACCAGGAGATCACTGTTTGATTCCTGGTCAGGGCACATGCCCAGGTTGTGGGTTCGAACCCCAGTAGGGGCCGTGCAGGAGGCAGATGATCAGTGATTCTTTCTCCCTTTCCCTTTCTCTCTGAAATCAATTAAAAAAAAAATGTCAAGAACAGGTAGCAAAATTTAAGTATTACTCAAATAAAACAATTAGTTTTCCTAAGCCATCAAAATTTTTTTTCAAATTTATAGTTTTATTCCAGAACAAGGATTATTTAGTAAAAGTTAAATTCGATATCAGAAAATATATAGTTAAAAATATCTAATTATAATGCTAAGCTTTGCTATTGGCTAGTCTTTAGAATAGTGTACTATATGCCAAGTGCTTTACTTGTATAATTGATCTCATAAAACATGACAAAGCAAATATTATTCTACATTTGCTTATTTGGAGTGTGTCCAAAGATAAAAAAACTTAACAGGTAGTAAGCCTGAGTTTGAACCCAATTTTGTCTGACTCTCTCTACTATTGTAATACTGCCTCTCACTGTACTTACTAAACATAAAAATGATGTAAGCTATTTAATTTACTTACAAGAACACACTTCAAGGAATTAAGAAGTCATTAGGCTAATCTTAGAGGGAAAGCCTATTTAAATTAAAAAGAAGTATAAGTTTTAAAATGCTTTTACATAAATGCACCTTTGCTTCCTTTAAGTGTATGTAATAATTTGAGGAAAGACACTGCATTTTGGAAAGTACAATTTAGTAGATAATGTTGGAATTGGTATATTATTTTTTTGTGACTTGCTTTTACTCCTGTAAAGTGAATTCTTACTGTAGGAATTTAAATATGGTTGGAATCGTTTAAAATGTGGATATGAGGTCATGTTTTAGCCTGTGGTCCATTTTATTAGCTATACAGTGGATTTTAAACAGTTCACATTCTCTAAAGTATATGGAAATTCCTTTCTAATCTAGAGTCTTTAAAACTACAGTATTTCCAAAGACTATGGGAGAATTTTTCTTTGAATTTGTATTCTGGAGCTTATTATTCTTTTCCGAGTTATACTAATATGTTGTATATATTGAATATTTTTAGATACATTTTGAGTTACTCCTGATGCCCCTGGGTTTTTAAATTATTGGAAACATTCATATAAACATTTTATAAGAGTTATTTCATTTAATTTTATAGGTGGCTACAGTCAACGCCTTCCAAATGCAAGTGCTCTGGGGAAAATTTTCACTGCTTTACCTTTTGGTAACCCCATTTATCAGATGTTAGAATTAAAACTAGCCATGTACATTGATTTCCCCTCACATATGAATCCTGGGATTCTGGTTACCTGTGCAGATGATATTGAACTTTATAGTATCGGAGAATCTGAGTTTATCAGATTTGACAAGCCTGGCTTTACGGCTTTAGCTCATCCTTCTAGCTTGACTGTAGGTACCACACATGGAGTATTTGTCTTAGAACCTTCTAATTGTTTAGAATATAGTGACCTCGAATATCGGTGTTGCCATCGTTTCCTTCATAAGCCCAGCATAGAAAGGATGTGTCAGTTTAATGCTGTGTGTAGACCTGGAAATTTTTCTCAGCAGGACTTGTCCGGGGGTGACACTGCCTCTCTTAAATTTGAATCTGAGTATGTCTACACAGACAGCCTATTTTACATGGATCATAAATCAGCGAAAAAGTTACTTGCTTTTTATGAAAAAATAGGCACACTGAACTGTGAAATAGATGCCTATGGAGACTTTCTGCAGGCTTTGGGACCTGGAGCAACTGTGGAGTATACCAGAAACACATCAAATGTCACTAAAGAAGAGTCAGAGTTGGTAGACATGAGGCAGAGAATATTTCACCTTCTTAAAGGGACATCACTAAATGTTGTTGTTCTTAATAACTCCAAATTTTATCACATTGGCACAACTGAAGAATATTTGTGTCACTTTACTTCAGCTAGCAGTTTGAAGTCAGAGCTTGGCTTACAGTCCATAGCTTTTAGCATCTCTCCAGCAGTACCAGAATGCTTTGGTAACACATCCTGTATCATTCAAAGTATATTGGATTCAAGATGTTCTGTGTCACCTGGCTCAGTTGTGGAGTACTCCAGATTGGGGCCTGATGTTTCAGTTGGGGAAAACTGCATTATTAGTGGTTCATCTATCATAACAACAGCTGTCCTGCCTGCGTATTCTTTTGTGTGTTCCTTAAGCTTGAAGATGAATGGACACTTAAAGTATTCAACGATGGCATTTGGAGTGCAAGACAACCTGAAAAGGAATGTTAAAACATTGTCAGATATAAAGTCACTTCAATTCTTTGGCGTCTGTTTCCTGTCATGCTTAGATATTTGGAATTTGAAAATTACAGAGGAGCTCTTCTCTGGAAACAAGACATGTTTGAGTTTGTGGAATGCTCGTATTTTCCCAGTTTGTACTTCTTTGAATGATTCGGTTACAACATCCATAAAGATGTTAAATGCTGTGCAAAGCAAGTCAGCATTCAGCCTGAATAACTATAAGCTGTTGTCCATTGAAGAAATGCTTGCCTACAAAGACGTAGAAGACATGATAACCTATAGGGAGCAAATTTTTCTAGAAATTACTTTGAATAGAAAACTTTGATTAAGAGACATCTTAAATATTGCATACTTCGCCTTTCTTGATTGAGCTAGATTGCAAATATAGGTGTTTTCTATAGATGTTTGTTTTATTGAAGTCATTTAATGAAAATTATGTTAACAGTTGCTGCAGCATAAAATCAATAACACAAAAATACAGATAAACCATTTTTGAAGAAAGAATATTTCTAGGCTGTAACTTCAGGAAAGGGATTTTTAGATGTTTATTACTATTTTAATATTTCTATAAATTAAGATGGATTTATGGAGCATTAGTTTGTTCACATAATAATGTACTAGTTTTAAAGGTAATTTTCTAAACATACCTTTAGTTTTTCCCTCTTCTTTTGGGCTTCAGTTCCAAAAAAGTTCTTAGTGTTTATTGGCAGTTCTCTTCTCAGATGTAGTAATTCTGATTAACTAATAAAAATAGCATACTATCTGATCTTCAGAGCACTGTTGGAATAGTGTCAAAATAACATTTGCAGGGACAGATTTATAATTAGCAAATTCAGATTAAATTAATGCTTAAAATATTATGATAATCTTAATTGATAAGTAATGGACAACTCTGAAATTGATGCTAAAAATCTCATTTATTGATCTTACCAAAATGAAACAAAAAAGGGTATATGTGTTATTTTATCCATCTAAACTTGAAAATGTGTTTGTGTATCCTAAAAATGTTCCCTAAATTTTCATCCATAGGAAAGCATACACACCCACAAAAGTCAAATATCTGTGTGGGGAAGATGGTAGGAATAATTGAGATTCATTGATAATAATATGTTTATTCCGAGCATTACTTTCATCCTCATACTAATTTCTTTAATAGAACTGTTAAATTACCAGATGAACTGATTTTACTTTTCATTTCTTATTTTCTGTCCATGCACTGGTAATGATGCTGAGAAGCAATAAATACCCAAAAGATAGATAGTAGGAAGGAGCCAGAAGAAGAGAAAGATTAAGAAAATGCACACATGATAAACAGCTTCAAGAAATAAAAATTGGCTGGTGTCCCAAGTTATGTGTACCAATCTATATATATAAAAGCCTAATATGCAAAGTGTCCCTTCAGGAGTTTGACCTGGAGACCAGGAGTTCAATCGCTTGCTAATGATGTGCTCTGACCACCAGGGGGTGGCGCGGAATGAAGGAAAGCCCCAGCCGGCAGCCGGAAGGCCCTGGACCTAGGGACCTTACCTGTGCATGATTTCGTGCACAGGGCCTCTAGTTTGATATAAGCACATAAGTGAAATGTGCTCATACCAAAGTCTAATAATCCTATATAATAAAAGCATAATATGCAAATCGACCATCCATTTGAGACCAAGCTATGACACCCACTGGTGCCAGGCCAGCCAAGGTGGGTGCAATGCGATTGTCCAGGGGCCCAGCCATCACCCCATGATTGCCTTGCAGAAGGAGGCCCAGGCCACCAACCAGCGGGCTGCAGCAGGTGGGCAGGGCCTCCCTCTGTGAGGGAATCCCGGGTCCTGGGTGCCAGCAGCTGGAGAAAGCCTAGGTCCCGGGTGCTGGCAGCTGGAGGGGGCACAGGTCCCAGGTGCTGGAGGGAAGCCAGTGCCAGCAGCCGGGTGAAGGAAGGCCTATTCTTGCATGAATTTCATGCATCGGGCCTCTAGTAATTACAGAAAAGACTTGTAAGAGTTTTGTATTTTAACATGAGTAAATTGAAATAAGAACTGGTCTGTGCCACTTTTATTGATGTATCCAATGACAAAACGAAAATAATTATTTGGTAAACCAGAAGTAACTTGTCTGTAACTCTCAATTATGATATTTATGTCTTGTTTTTTTCTTTCTTAAAGGTTCTTTCCAAGGACAAAATAAAGATATATAGTAGCTATTGTGTAGCATTTACTGATTTACTTGCACAGTTTTCAGAGGATATTATGTTTATCATTTATTAAATGTTCAATATTGTATTTCACAGTATAATCTATATAATTTTGTACAATCTAAAAGGCCATCAATTATTAAGAATCACCATTATTTTATGTTCCACAAAAAAGAGAAAACGCTACCAATAAAATATTACTCAATGCTTTCTTTGTTACTTGAAGTTTTTATATTTATTGGCGATCTCTTTTAAATGCACTTACAGATTTTTATTATTTTACCTGCTTACATATACATATAAAGGATCAAAATGCAGTATTGAAATATAGTCAATTATGTTCTTAAACTTCACATTTAGAGACAAAGTTTTTTTTTCTAAAGCACTCTTCAATTGAAGACTTATTGATGTACACGCATTTCCACCTAGTACCATCCTCTGTACCATCAAATGCATTTCCTATGTGCCTCCATAACATTACTGTCCGGGTTTTCTTTCAAGCAGTGGACTCCAGATACCTATTTTGCAAGTTTTTGATGCTATTTGACAAAATTGAGTTTCATTTTTGCCTCAATTTAATCATATATCTAGAAGAATGTGGCTTCTACTCAGTCAGGGGGAGGTTTCTTACAAATCGGTGATCACCATTTTAAGCATAATTCTGCACAATGTCTGATTCTAGCTGCTCTGAAATGTTATCATTTCCCAAGAATTTGTCAGTGCCTCTTGCCTTGAGATGCATTACTTGGTATGTAGTACCATCTATGTATCACCAGCAGTGTTCCTAATTCAGAGAGGTGATAATCCCGAGCACGTATAAGTAAGAAATTGGACATTTTCTTAGATTTATTATTTTATTTTATAAAATTATAGCCTTTAATCATATACTCTCTAGTTTTGTAAAGGATAGCTACAATGTGTAATTAAATGTATTGTATAAACTTATTAATGAGTTAATAATTAACAGTGACTAAGAAGGGCATGAAAAACAAAATCCATCATTTGGTATTAATCTTCTACCTTAAGCATTTATTTATCAAACTAAGCAAAAAGGATATCAGGAATGTGTATCCATGTATATACTAAATTGAAATAAAAACTCAAAAATCTAAATGATATGCTTAAATCACAAATTTTTAATGGTATTAATGCAGAACTCCCAGAACCTGTGGTGATCTATTCATCTCCTGAGGCTAAGCAATATTTTCTATGTTAGGTAAAGATAACCAAATTGAGCATAGAGCTGAAATCCAAACTTTTCCTGCTGCAAAATGTATACATACAGCTGATAACTGGTGTACTACACAATAACAGGGATGCCATTTGCATACACCATGTTGTCCTCTGGACTTGAGCAACTTGGAGACCCGGAATTTAGGCACCTTGATGTATATAGTCTAGCAGAATTAAGAAGGAAAGAAAAGCCAAAAAAATAAATTTGTTCAAAGTTGTCTGAAAGATTTTTAGATGTTATTTTTGTTGTTATTTAGCTAAATGAAACAGTTTCCAACTATGTTAAGAACTAAGGGATAGAGAACCAAGATGGCAGCATAAGTAAACATGGTTCTCGCTGACTCCCACAACCACATCAAAATTACAACTAAAACACAGAACAACCATATTCAGAACCACCTGAAAGCTGGCTGACTACAAGTCCCACAAGTAGAGAATTAAAGAAGAAAGTACATCAAAACTGGTAGGAGGGGCAGGGGGACAGAAGAGTGGAACCAGCTTGTCCGACATCCACATGGGGAATTTTTTTAATTGGGAGGGATATCTCCACTGCAGAGGCCTCCTGTGAGAAGCAAGGGGTCTCAGCCCCATACCAGACCCCCAGGACGGTTCCAGAGCTGTGGCAAGAAGTCCCCATAATTTTGGGTTGCAAAACCCAGTGGGAATTGTGGCGGAGTGACATGGAAGCTACTGGAGACCCAGGCAGTTCCTCTTAAAGGGCCAGCACATGAACTTACTTGGACTCACTCCCTCTGGGTTCCTGCACTGGGCAGCAGCTTTGGGGGATCCAGGGACATATGGGGAGGAACTGAATTGTCAGGAACTCAGGGGCAGCTTCTTCCAGACAGGGGTACTTGCAGGGGTCATTGTTCCTGTACTGGACCATCCCCCACCGCAGAGCTGACTGGCAGCCATATTTGAGTTTCCATCAGCCTGGTTCACACTGTTTGCTCCATTCTGATGATTCCCTAAGACCCTACTCCATCCAATTTGCAGCCCCATCTAATCTGCAGCTGCTTTTCCATATGAATGGCCTATCCTGAATCAGGCTTCAGACTTAACTAAAATATCTTAAACAAGCAGCAGCTGGCATCAGCATGCCCCATACCTATCAATAACAGGCCCAAAACCTGGCACTAGCACCAGCCTGTCTTGCTTCACAGCTTGGCTCTGCCTGGGCACTTCCAAGCTCAATACAAGTAGCAGCCATCTGCAGATCCTTCTGTAGCTCCTGCTAGGTGGCCCCAGGCAGTGGCTGACTGCACCTCCTGGGAGACCCAGAGCCAGTGCACCTGGTGGACAGCTTCAGATCACACCAGGTTACAACTCGACCACACCCATGAGTGATATGCTCAAGGGACAGACTCAGCACCAAAGCCCCACTGAAGCAAGTCCTTCTCTGTAGATACATCTCCTGCACAGCATCTCTTCCATTGTAGTTGCAGTTGGTCCTCACAGCCAATTGGCCTGGAGGTCAGTGCCTTCCAGTGATGCCAACAAGAATCAAGGCTCAACTACAAGACTGTGCACATAGCCCACCCAGGCACACAGAGTGTCCAGCTCAGGTGAGTACAGGACACCTACTACACAAGGCCACTCTACCAATTCCAGGAGACATAGCAACTCTTCCTAATACCTAGAAACAAACACAGAGAAGCAACCAAAATGTGGAGACAAGGAAACAGGTCACAAATGAAAGAAATGGAAGTAAGCAAACTACTGGACACAGAGTTCAAAACAATGGTCATAATGTCACTCAAGGATTCTAATGAGCTTCAAGGGACCTAATGAGAGCTTCATGGGACTTAGTGAAACTTTTAAGATAGTAATGAGAATTTCAAAGACATGAAAAAGGACCAGTGAGAAATTAAGCATACACTAACTGAATTAATAATTTATAGGGACTCAACAGTACAGTATTATAAGAATCAAATCAAAGATTTAGAATATGAGGAAGCAAAAAACACCCAATCAGAAGAGCAAAAAGTAGAAGTAATAAAAAATATGAAGATAGTGTAAGGAGCCTCTGGGACAAGAAATATAATGAACAAAATAAACTGATGAATAAAATAGAGCCAAAGGCATGGAAACATGGAGCAGACTGACAAATCTCAGAGGGGAGGGGGGTGGTGGGAAGAGATTAACCAAAAAATCTTATGTGCATATATGCATTCCCTAGGGACGCAGACAGTAGGGTGCTGAATGCCTGGTGTGGGGTGGAAACTGGGTGGAGGGGAGCAAATGGGGGGAGAGGAAGGGGACATTTATAACACTCTTAACAATAAAGATTTAAAAAAATAAAAAGAACTAAGTTATTAAAGGAAAGACCTTTATAAATTCACTTGCAAAATACACTTTAAAATTCATTTAGTGCACGTGAAATAATTGAAGCAATTACTAGTTACTTGTTTAATATTTTGTATCTAAAATTTTGTTTAGACAAAGCCAATTTCTATAGAAGTCGAGAAACAATTTTTATTGTTTGTACTTGGTAGAAGTGTATTATTAATATTACTTCTATTGAACTTTGTCAAAGGTTAATGCACATTCTCCTTCCCTTTAATATCAATGTGCTAAGCTCCATATAACATACTAATCTTCATGTTCTTCATGTTTCTGTTTGTTTATATTCACAGAAATTTCTATTTAGGTTTTGTAATATATTATGAGGGGCAAATTGCAGCAGTCTCTGGTGGGGAAGGACCAGTATCTGTCCCTGACAGCTAGTTTCATAAGCCACAACCAAATTGCCACATATTCAAACTTGTCAGTTTTGCTATAGTCCAGTAGAATGTAATTTGGTGTCAGGATAAAACCTGGAATAAACCCCTGAACAGGCAGCTCAGTTGGTTAGAGTGTCATTCTGATACACCAATGTTGAGGGTTCTGTTCTTGGTCAGGGCACATACAAGAATTAACCAATGAAAGCATAAATAAGTGGAAAAACAAATGAATGTTTCTCTCTCTTCCTCCCTCTCCCTCTCTCTCTTCTCTCTTTTCCCTTTCTCTCCCCACCTCTTGCTCTAAAATCAATAAATAAAGTTTAAATTTGGAATAAAAGAATAAGAAGCTGCTGATTGCCCACTGCGTTATTTTCAAGAGGTGAAGGTAGAGGATGCCTGTGAATTAGTCACAATTATCATCCACCTGTAAGGCTGTTTGATTATTGACATTCGTGTCTAAAGATGTTCATCCCAAGGGCATTATTGCACATGCAAGTAACTGATTGAAACTAACAGACTTAATGTTTCCTTCTGGGCTGGTTTGAGCAAATAGTCTATCTTTTGAAGCCTCTGGGTATAGGAACCTA